TCTTTTTCGAACTTTTTTCAGCTGATTTAGACGAAAGACTGGCCTCGGCGGGCTACAAAAAAGACCAAGAGAAAAACAGACCAAGACAGCAGAACAAGCTGATAATATTTCTTATTATATGGCAAGCTCCGCGAGCGGGCAAGATGAATCAAATCCTGCGCTGTGATTGGCTACCCGAGCGGGCAAGATGGAGCTATCTTGCCCGCTCGGGACTACCCGCCGTGTCCCGCAAGAAAAATTTCCCCGAAAGCCGTATAATTAAATCCTTTATTGATCAAGCTTGTTCGGTCAGGATGGCTGGATATTGGCCTCGTTCTTTCTTTGCGAGTTTATGGACCTCGACTCCGTCTCGGTCCATAAAACTCGCAAAAAAAGAACGAGGCCAATATCCAGCCATCTTGACCTCACACTTGGTCAATAACCCATACATCGCATGGCTTTCGGCACGAAAACGAAAATACAGCTTACTTCTGGATAAATTCAGCCTTAGAAGCCAGCAACCGGTCCTAAATTACTTTCTGTATCCTTACAAATGTCCTGACTTCNACTTAATAAACAAATATCCAAAAACAATTTCCCACCTTTGATCTTGTAGAATATTTCAGGTACAAACTGCTGCACTTGTTTATACTGGTGAGAAGAAGATCAACTTCCATGAGAATGTTCTACATCAAAACTGCTACTCAGTGATATTAAAATATGATCAAGGATCTGTTACCAGGATTGATCATGATAAAATTGAGTGTTCTCTGGTAAAAATTAATTAATTATTAAAAAACATAAGTTTTTGACAGCTGGTCGTCTGTCTTCGATGGATAAAATTTGTGAAGACAGTAGACTGGCCATTGAAGGCTTATGTTTTTTAATAATGTTTATCAATGAACGAATAATATTATTCAATTTTATCATATACTGTATAAGAGATTTGGCATAAAGAGGAGCAATATGTAATAATGACATTTATTACATGGCTAGCTCCGTGAGCAGGCAAGATGAATCAAATCCTGCGCTGTGATTGGCTACCTGAGTGGGCAAGATGGGGCTATCTTGCCCGCTCGGGTCTACCCGCCGCGTCCCGCAAGAGAAATTTCACCGAAGGCCATATAATAAATCCTTTATTGACCAAGCTTGTTCGGTCAAGATGGCTGGATATTGGCCTCGTTCTTTTTTTGCGAGTTTATGGACCTTGACTCCGTCTCGGTCAATAAACACCCAAAAAAAGAACTTGGCCAATATCCAGCCATATTGACCTCACACTTGATCAATAACCCATACTAATTTTCAGTCCAAGGCACATAATGGGTATTTGGTATGCACTAGGAAGGGGTCTAACCACTTTAATTTGATTAAAATCTAATGTTTACTTTTACTACTACAAAATCATCATCTAGTGTACATACATATCAAATACATACCCTTTCAACTACAAACCCTAATGTTGGAAACTGACAGCTTCCTATAGGAAATGAAGGAAATATAAATAATGGTATATGTAAACAGGTTAAAATTAAATGTACTCTTTTCTAATGGAAAGATGAAAACATGTACATGTACTGTTCACATGTGTTGTGGTATAACCTGACAAAAATTGTAATAAAATATATTTCATACATGTA